GTAGTTTCGCTCAGCATGTGACAGAGTACGGCTCGCGTAGGCCACGACTTGTTCTTCGGAAGCTTGGTTCCGCTGAAGAAGGACAGCACCGATGCCAAGTCCACTTGCGTCAGTGTGTAGCACAGTAGGTGCTGCAGGGTCGAAATGGCGAAGCACTGGCCGTGATGTGAGGCATCGCTTGAGGGTGTGAAAAGCGGCTTCGCAGTCATCCGACCAGACAAAGGGTGCGCTCGTGGTCAGAAGTTTGTGTAGAGGAGCCGCAATAGTAGCGAAATCACGTACAAAGCGGCGGAAATACGACGCTAAGCCAAGGAAGATGCGGAGGTCTTTCTGTGTGGTTGGTGTAGGAAAGTGCAGTACCGCGGCAACCTTGTCGGGATCGGGCTCAACGCCATGTTTACTGACGACATGACCTAATACCTGGATGCTGTGACTGGCAAACCGACACTTCTTAGTGTTGAGCTGGAGACCGGCCTTAGCTAAACACGTGAGGACTTCGTCTAGCCGTTCCAGGTGCTGTGAGAAGCTCGACGAAAAAAATGACAATGTCGTCCAGGTAGCAAAGGCAGGTCTTCCATTTTAATCCCCGCAGTACCGTGTCTATCATCCGTTCGAATGTGGCTGGGGCATTGCACAGGCCGAAAGGCATTACATTGAATTCAAAGAGCCCATCTGGCGTAGCAAACGCAGTCTTCTCTTTATCAGACTCGTGCATTGGAATCTGCCAATAACCGGAGCGCAAGTCGAGACTTGAAAAGTACTCGGCACCTTGTAAAGTATCAAGAGCGTCGTCAATGCGAGGCATTGGGTAGACGTCCTTACGAGTGATTTTGTTGAGTGATCTGTAATCAATGCAAAACCGTACCGTGCCATCCTTTTTTTTTCACTAGTACGACAGGAGAAGACCTTGCGCTTGTCGAAGGCCTGATGACGTTGCGCGCGAGCATGTCGTTGACTTGTTCTTCTATAAGCTTGCGCTCAGAAGCCGACACACGGTAAGGGCGGCGGCGAATCACACGGGATCCGTCGGTGTCGATACGATGGGCGGTCACTGTTGTTTGACCCAGACCTTCGGAACAAACGTCAAAGCAAGTTTTGTGCTTCATTAATAACGCTAGCAAGGCATCCGTTTGCGTTGGGTTGAGATGTTCACACAAAGTGGCCTTGAGAGCAGGAAATGCATCTTCCGCTGGCGTACACTTTGAGAATGACGAAGCCGATGAACCAGTGACGACACAAAGCGGTGCTTCTTCGGTAATGCTGGCAACAGTGGTCCCCTCAGGCAAAAGAACTGGTTCTGGCGTCGTGTTGCAGGCCTTGATGCTTGCATACCCACGGGAGAACCGCACTAAACAAGATGCGATGGTGATCCCTCGAAAAATGCAGCGCTGGCAAGGAGCAACCAGAGCGTCACCATCTAGAATGTCACGTGACTTGATCGTAAGGACACGTTCTCGTCCGGGAGGCAGGAGGAAATCCGCAGCTGTCACAAGGTTGGGCGACGAAAGGTCGGCAGCAGAAGAAAGCTCAGTGTCCGTAATACGAATGAGGGGTTGACCACACGAAATTACAGCAGACGCCGCTGACAAGAAGTCCCAGCCTAAGATTATCTGATGAGCGCACGAAGACAGCACAGCCAATTGTATGTGATGACGGATTCCATTGATGAGAATACGAGCAGTGCACAACCCGGTCGGGCGAATTGGACTGTCATTAGCACCGCATAACATGGGACCGGCATAAGGAGTTTGCACTTTACGCAGGCGAAAACACAATTCACGATCAATTACCGAAATTGCGGCTCCAGTGTCTATAAGGGCGTCAACAAAAACACCTTCCACAGAAACAGGCAGTAAATTAGCTGGACGAAACGGAGGAGTTGTAGCGTTCCGACGACAAGCAGTTTCCCCTCCAAAAACTGCACCTTCTAGTTTTCCGAGTCCCGAGAGATCGGAGCGGGACGCAAGGGTGATGACGTACGCCGAAACGGTGACGGAGAACGGCGGCGAGATGAACGAGAAGGATGAGGCCCAGCATGAGACCGTGGAGGGGAGGGCGACTGACGGAAGGTGGATGGATACGGTGCGGGATCGTATTCATCGGGTCTCGGGGAAAAGTCTCTCTCGTAAGCTGAGTAACCACGTCGTTCATCCTGCTGACGGCGGCGGCAAAAACGGGATATATGACCCCTTATGCCACAGTAGAAGCAGATGGGGCGGGGAGGACGCCATGTAGAATAGTGGCGTAGTCTTGGCGCTTGCATTGTCATCGCAGCCACATGGTCGCATCCGACGTCCGCAGGCACGGTTGGAACTGGTGCAGGGACCCGCGATGCAACTTCTGCGTACGAAGGCACTGGGAAGCGCACAGGAGACGGGGCATGTGCAGCGCTTGTCATTGATGCCAGTTCGTCCTTGATTATCTCTCGCAGGTTGGGAGGAGGTGTGTGGACAGACGCAACGGTAGGGTTGCCTGGAATAAGGCCGTGAAGTTCTTCTCTGACAATTGTGCGGATAAGGGCCCGCAATTCATGCTCTTTGGTAAAGCGAGCGTCGCAGGAGGCGTGTGGAAGGCGCATGGAATGAAGCGCGTCCAGGCGTTGGCATGTAGTGATGACGTCCCGGACGGTAGTCGGATTCTGAATCACGAGAGCATTGAAGGCCACAGAGTTGATGCCTTTCAGTAGATGTCGGACGCGATCGGCCTCCGTCATGTCATTTTGTGCTCGGCGACAGAGAGCCAGAATATCTTCAATGTAGGACGTATACGATTCGTCGTCCCCTTGAATGCGGGTTGCGAGCTTCTGTTTCGCTACTACAGAACATCCTGCAGATGTGCCAAATACCTGACGGAGATGCCCCGTGAAGGCCGACCAATTGGAGAAGTCGCTCTCGTGGTTGTAATACCAGGTTTTAGCGACGCCATCGAGGTAAAAAGGAACGTAGCGCAGTTTGTGCGCCTCGTCCCAGTAATTACAAACGCTGGTTCGATCATAACTGTCGAGCCATTCTTCAACGTCTTCGTTGCGAAGGCCGGAAAATACCGGAGGGTCTCGATGAGAGGTACTCACGGTGTAGTGAAGCCTAAGTGGCTGAGAAGGAGCGGTTGCAGCAGTGGGCGGGTTGGGTTCTGCCATTGCTGTTGCTTGAGGGCACAACCGTCGACCAGACCGGAGCTCCAGGGGTGACGGGTAGAGCAGGAGGACGTGGGAACCAAAGCACGCTCCACCACTTATGAGACCACGTCCGGTACGGCAGCAACCAGGTTATCCTTCTTTAATCCAGGCGCACGAGCCAGAGAGCCAGCCCGCGTGACATACGATGATGATCACTACAATGGTTTGGTCATGCAGATGAAGATGAAGTACATAGTCAGCGCTCACACTATATATATATATATATATATATATCGTTTGTATGTGTGCGTGTATTTACACGCAAGCAAAATATAAAAATTTAGAGAGAGGGTCCCCCCTCCCCCCTTGGCTATATACCGACGTATGTCGGGAAGGAACCACGTTAACATCTGTTATATAGCGTGTTGGAAGAGTAAATCAACAAGCAGGCTTCGCGCAAGGCGAATTGCGTAACCTGTGACCAGGCGTGACAATATGAGTTGCGCAGCGAGAAGGTTGCTGAATGCACCAATTACAAAGGCCTCAACCATAATTCTTCATCGTCACCAGCCAAAACATCAACAAAGTGTACAGGGCGTTTTTCGCAAATGTGCAGGGGATACCTAGATTCTGCGGAGAATGGCGAATAATTGCATAGTGATTGTTTGCCGGCTAGACAAAAAGCTATGATTTACGGCGTATGGGGTACTTGTATTAGTAGCCCCAACAGAGTTTCCAACGGCCTCTAGAAATGCCGCTCTTCGGCGCAGGCCTAGCATTCTTTAGATACATCTTCATTTGTGCCCTACATAGGTGTGACCCTTGCTGCGGAAAAATTTTGTTAGTTAAATTCTATTTATTTAGGCGAAAACCTTGCGTGTGTATTGGGAAAGTGGACTCGACCTCAAAAAAAAAAAAAAAAAAGAGACGTTGCGAGGGCAGGAACGTCGTCTTTTTGGAAGAGAAAAGCATAGCAAAGCTTTGTAAAAATAATAATATCCTAAAGCCTCGTATAGTTCGGATTGCAATGGGGTGGGAAAGCTAAGTGAAAGTGACGAGAGAGAAGAAAGAAGGAAGAGAGTAAGTCATATCGTATAGTGTATTATGGCAAGTGGGTTGGAAACGGAGGTGAGGGTGAACTAGATGAAAAGAAAGAAGGGAGAGAGTGAAGCATAGCATAGCATAGCCATGTATATTACGGTATAGACAATTTCACCTTACACATATGGGTGCCGCGATCTTGGGCTGTTAAATAGATATTTTTTTTTTCCTATTGCAAATTTCGACGTGAAATAGTACGGTCACAAAATATCGCATGCACGAACCAGACTGTTTTCATGCGTATGGGTCCGCCACAACACTGGTCGTTTAGTTGCTAAAGATGCAAAGCACGAAGGTTAATGGCCCAACATGGCTGCACTGAAATCCAAGTGTAAAGTAGTCTAGAGAAGGGGCGGGGAAGGGAATTTAGGGTTGGCAGGAATGAAACGAGGACGGGAACTCCGCCGTTTTTTTCAGTCTTCGCACCACTAGGACGTAGCTGCTCTGATTTATTTTTGTCAAGCTGCGGGTACCGTCAAGCGAACGTATGGAACTTGACGCAGTGCCACAGTATGAAGAGTGGGACAAGCAGCGCAACGGTAAAGGCGGATGACCGATAGATAAATTTAATGAAACAGAACCTTGACGCTTACATTGTAGCGTCCTTCCTTTTGTATGTGCATAATAATGCGTAGTAGAGCTGGCATATGCCACGTGCGTGAATTATTTCGCTTTGGTGCGGCTAATGTCTCAGAAAGTGACTAGCTAACACACTTACGTAAACGTAACTTTTTCATCCTTTTATGCGGCTTTGTCGTACGAACCATTCAACATTTATGCTTACCCAGTGTTTGCGTTTTCTTTCCGTTTTTCCATGCGCCGAGCGGGATAGGCTCGCTGTCTTCACGGCGCCAGGTGATGGTTGGGCGTGGGTAGCCCCGAGCTTTGCAGGTCAGCGTCACGTTCGAACCTTCGCGAACCACCACGTCCGAGCTGCTCTCTTCGACCACGATATCAGGGGGCACTGCGGAAAAGACAATTGCAATGCATTGTAGACAGACGGACGGACGGACGGACGGACGGACGGACGGACGGACAGACGGACAGACAGACAGACAGACAGACAGACAGACAGACGGACAGACGGACAGACGGACGGACGGACGGACGGACGGACGGACGGACGGACGGGCAGACGGGCGGACGGGCGGACGGGCGGACGGACAGACGGGCGGACGGGCAGACGGGCGGACGGGCAGACGGACAGACGGACAGACGGACGGGTGGACGGACGGGCGGGCGGAGAGATAGATAGATAGATAGATAGATAGATAGATAGATAGATAGATAGATAGATAGATAGATAGATAGATAGATAGATAGATAGATAGATAGATAGATAGATAGATAGATAGATAGATAGATAGATGTACAGAAATTTCTGTGAGGGATCGCAACGACTATTGCTCGAACATTTAGAAGCAGTACCCAAAAGTAGTTGCGATAATGCAGAAATAGCTTGCGATCATCACTTTGTAGTCGAGAGCGCGTCTCGTACTGTCTATATATTTTATGTCTGTGTCTGTTTTATACAGAGGGGATTTTTCTAAAACTTCACCTCTTCGCCAAGTTACACAAGACTGTTTACCATAATATGTATGTTCTTTTGTTTTTATTCTAGAGAAGCTAATGTATACTGCTTAGCAATATGTTATCTCTTTGCGCACTTCTTAGATCATGTCTGAATATCAATGATAGAACGATTTCCTTCCCCTAATTTACGCTGCGCCGTTACAAAGTAAGCAATAACTCAATCTTCGTGCCCCCTTCGAACCTATACGTATCGCTCTTTCCGTCATTCAAATCAATAAAACTAAATCACGAGAAGGAAGCCTCATTACAAGCTAACGCGCAAACTCGCGCACCGTGGTGTACAGCATCTCTAAATGCGTCATAACATCACTCTGCGGTCTCGCTTTTTCTTGGCCTAGCCCTGCTCCTACAGCGCCCACTATACGGTGTCTGTTTTCCATCAGCTGAACTCGTCTTAATCATGTTAATGGCAGCCGTATAGAAAGGCTGCCGTGATCTACATTATGCCCTGCTGACGCTGCTCCGCATTTTTTCATTCCTCCGCGATGCCGATGCCGGCCGCACTTTTATTGACTCCGACCCATAATCTGATTGCGTGGCCCAGCAAGCGCGCTACGATAAGCAAGCAGCGCTTGCACTGTTCGACGTAGCCGACGTTAAGTGCCTACCACTTTCAATGCATCCTTTGATGCGCCTCTACATGTTGTAGTACGTACTACGTCATAGCGACTGTTGTTTTTTTTTTTCTTATCTCCCGGATGTGTAGGAGCAGAGAATTGACAGGTGAACCCTACAGCAACGGTGTCCACACCTACGAAAATTTTTGTAACGTAAGAACCGTGAAGAAAAACTGCAAGTGAATTGTCTTTGTTGACACCACTTTAGAAGTAATTGATTCACCTTCTGATGCACCCCAGCTTAGACTACCAAAACGATTGCATTCACACCTGATTTGGGGCGAGAGCGTTTACTTACCCACCTTTTCCAGCCATAAAACATCAATCCGGCAATATCATAGGACTTTCCGTTCATGGATGAACATTTGCTCATCCAGCTGTTGCTGATACTTATTATCGTTACGTTTTTGTTGTTTTTGCTACCTTTTTTGCATCGTATAACCTAATTTCTTCAGTATTTGCACTCGTCAATCGCACATTACAACCCATATAAACGGAACCATAATACAAAGCCAAGAGAAAAATAAAACCGATAAAGGCGCAGGGCCAATTCCTCGGCGTCGTATAGTTAAAGTTTTCTTGTCTGCTGTTTTAATTGGATGGTGAACAACGGAAAATTAGGATCTCCTGCTTCGATTCTTTTTGTTGCATGAGCGTTCGAACGGTTCCATCACCGACAACTAAGTGCTTGCTAGTTTCACTAAACACTTGTGTTTGCATATCGGTGGCCTGTGATAGTTTCACGCGCCCACACATAGGAGACTCAATATCAGTCACCCTCATGGACACGTGGGTTAACGAGAATTTCAATGCACTGGTAGCTTCAGGGTGCCGCTATGGTACATTATTAGACCTTGACGGGACAAAGCAACCTTTTTGTAGCTCTTACAAACTTCTCATTTTAACGAAGAGTTTCTAGCGTGGCAATCACTTCGTCTAAAGGGACCCTGGCCACACCGCATTCGAAGGGGAGGGAGTGATTTCCTGGTCGGCTTCGCTATACCCTTCCTAAAGGCGAATATTTCACCTTCACCACTTATTGCTTAAAAACACGTGTACGATGTCAGTAGCGAGCGTTGAGCCTTATCAGAGAGAGAGAGAGAGAGAGAATAAAATGAGGGGAAGGCAGGGAGGTTAACCAGAAAATGGTGCATCCGGTTTGCTACCCTGCACTAGGGGAAGGGGGAATGGGGAAGAAAGATTGAGCCTTATCAAGATTTCAAACTTATCGGTACACGCTGTTACTTCCGCTTGCGCAGTCGGAAACACATAAAATTAAGTGAAATCAGTTGATGGCGCTCGATAATCATGTGATACACGGAAGAACGGATGAGTTGCTGTAAGGCAGAGCAGTGCAGGAGACAATTCACAACTGATATAACGCCTATACGGAACAATTGAGAATATGCATTTTATAGACGTCACGGGAATCGCTATTCTCGCATCACGAAAAGCGCCCGAAGACATTTGAGAAAGGCCAGGAAAGAATAATGCGCCTTTTTTTGTGTGTGCGTACGTGTGTATTTTCAAAGGTTGGTGAAGGGCCCTTAAACGAGTTTTAAGTTCCCATAATTATGTACCAGCGAGGCCTACTTAGTGAATATGTAAATAGAAGTCTGGCTAATAATACCGGCCTCCTCACAGACCGACGTTCCAGTGTTTGTGCACTTATTAAAACTGCTCACGCACAGCTTGCGCTTGTAAACTCGTTAATTACAATCATACTCTAGCTCCAGCACTCGTGAACCAAGATACGATACAATACATGTGTAGAGTGCTTCTCCGAAGTTCGCGCACACGGATTTGAACACAATATAGCCCTTGACTAAATTACATGTGCAGCTGTGTACTGTTTTGAATCTCATCATTAACTTTTGAGCACCCGATCAGTGCATTCAGTGCCTAAACGTAAATTGTGCTCAAGATGAACTATAAGCGTGCGCATGAATATGTATTTGGTCTTATATATACTAAACAGATGTACTTGCAAGGTGCTGTGAAATCCGTAGTTTCACAATACGAACTTTGAGTTGGGGAGATCGTACCCTTTGCTCAACGTCTTCTTAGCATAGGAAGTTTGCCTGAGATGTTTGGTCTAAGAAAGGTGTCGCTCAAAAAAAACGCTAAAGAGCCCAGATAGCCGTCCAATCTCCTTTCGCTCTTTCGATGAATTTGCCAGTTCGGCAATCATTCGTCTCGTAAACCAGAACCTTATAGGTTAACAAAAAAGAATGCTGGCGCAAAATAAGTTTGATAGGCAGTTTGCTAAAGCACTCACACGAAGCAATAGTACAATTTTGAAACGTCATTAGCATAAACAAGCAGACCATTTTTAGACATGTAATATGCTAAGGCTATATTTTCTTTTTAGATAAGTTAATAAGATGTTTTGATTGATTGATTGATTGATTGATTGATTTATATGTGGGGTTTAACGTCCGAAAACCACTATATGATAATGAGAGACGCCGTAGTGGAGGGCTCTGGAAATTTTGACCACCTGGGGTTCTTTAACGTGCACCCAAATCTCAGCACACGGGCTTACAACATTTCCACCTCCATTGGAAATGCAGCCGCCGCAGCCGGGATTCAATCCCACGACCTGCGGAAACATTTTTGAAAGGTTTACTTTTGCTTTACCATAGTAAGCGTTAATGTTCCTACGTCTAAGCTCCACTATGTTTTCTTGACTGTGAAAATTTTATTTTTAGAATGGTTTGCCCCGTGGATAGTTGGGGATCTTGTATGCTAAGTAGTAGCAGTAAAAATTAGACGCATGGTAAGAAGAACAAACACGAAAATACTGATAGAACTTTTTTCTCTTGTCCCCTATATTCGCAATGGCAATGCACACTGTATTGCTACAGCAAACTTAAATAGGCAGTGATTGATTGATTGAGTGATTGATTGATTGGTTGATTGAAGTTGCGTTTATTTGGCGTTTAGTGGCAATTGAAGTGGTGTCTATTCACGACAACCCAATTAGTTTCCTGTATACAATTCTTTCTCCTCAGTCCTAGATAAATCCGGTCGAATTGACGTCACCTTCCTTGACTTCAGCAAGGCATTTGATAAAATACCCCACTCCAAATTAATTCACAAACTTAACTTGCTTGGTTTTCCCTTGACCATTGTTAAATGGGTAACATCGTATCTGTCTTCTCGCACACAGTTTGTCGACATAAATGATACCTACTCCAATCCTCTTTCCCTTAAATCCGGAGTTCCCCAGGGTAGCGTCCTGGGACCACTACTAGTCTTACTAGTTTTATTCTATATCAATGATATCACATCCTGTGCTAAATATGGTGTTAAAATGCGGCTGTTTGCCGATGATTGCCTTCTGATTAGTTCAGTTAAATCCACAGATGACCAAATGTCATTGAACCAAAGTGTTAATGAAGTTAATACCTGGTGTGAGTGCTGGGACATGCACATAAACCCAGAGAAAACTGTGTCTATGAGCATTACTAACGAAAAACAACCCCTAATCTACTCGTACAGTATTAAAGAAACTCCAATTTTACTTACACAAAGTTATAAATATCTTGGCGTCACAATCACCAACTACTTAACTTGGTCCTGCCACATTGAAAAGATATTAATAATCTAGAGAAAGTCCAAAGATTAGCTGTTCGGTTTATTTACAATCGCTTCCGCCAATCTGACTCCCTGACAGAACTAATAATTATTAACAAATTCGAATTTTAAAGTCTTGAAGGAAACTAGCTAGACTTAAACTTCTTTTTCACCATCTAAGAAAAACACTATCATATAGCTTTCGCACGTCTTCACTCCATTTTCTTCACTTCCTACCAGAGGATACCATTCTTACAAATTCACACCTGCCTTTGCACGCGCTAGCAACTTCAAGTACTCATTTTTTTTCTCGCACAATAACAGACTGGAACGAACTGCCGCACCATATTTTTGAGTCTGCGAATGTACTAAAATCTCTAGAAAATTACTTTGTAGTGCGAGTTATGTAACCCGCGAATATATTGTACACCTGTCTGATTTATTATTTTTTTCGTTGTTGTTTTCTTTGTATTTTCTTTTTTCTCTTCACCTGTATCTATAAATTGGGTATATCATTATCATTGTACCACCTCCCACTCCTGCTTGGGCAATTTTTATGGCCTGCAGTACTTAATAAATAAAAATAAAATAAAAATAAATTCTCTGCAGAGTAAGTAAGTGCGGCTATCTACAGTAAAACACTGGTTCTGAAATATTCAAAAAGGGAAACAAGATTTAATAGAGTGGGGCGTTTTTATTCGGTGCCTTTCATTTTTATGGTGATAGTCTCTATGAATACACTAAAATTGGTTTTAAATATAATTAAAGGAGAAACTAAGTCACTGTCGCTTTACCGAATTCGACCTCATTAAACCGCGTCTATGTCTACTGATTTGACCTACTTGACAGGGCAACAGTTAGGGTTATTTGGTGAGCCATCCTAAATATTCTCAGGCGTATGAATATAAATTTGCTATGGTGAAATGCTAAACAGAGAAAGAAGCAAGAAACAATAGAAAAAAAAGATTTACAAAATTCGGCATCTACAAAATTTAAAAGCTCGGAAGGCGCAGACGCAAGAAAACAGGCACACAAAAGACCACCTCTGCGTGTTGTTTTTTGTGTTCTGTCTACTTTTACCACTGCGGTGCAGGTATATTACAAAGTATACTTGCGGTGCAAGTATATTACAGCGACGTCGTATATTTCTTGGTGGTCGCGAATTTTCGTGGTGTAAACGCGAAATTTATTTAGCGCGTGCCGCATTCACTGGGGAAATCCCATAAATCACCATAGTGGTCCACTAAAGATTAACAAGGGATAATACGGGCAACGAGCGCCCATAAAATGCGCACTTTTTAGGTTCTCTTGTTGGCCATATCACCAAGTGCTCAGGAGGTGGTTTAGCGCACGTCGGTTCTTGATGACGGTTATTCTATAGCGAAACAGTATACCTCTCGTTGTCGAGATAATTTGGAACATACACACAAAACGCCAGGTTAAAGAACCCCTAAACCATTAACAGGTGCTCCGCCCCATCAGCATGTGTGGTGTTTTGTGCATCTTCGCTTGAAATTCACGTACGCAGGGCGGGATGGCGTCCAATGTTTTAGAACGCACAGGCAATCTGTAGTCAGCTGATACTGCAATAGGCATCCAGGAAAGGTGCCTCGAAGGGCTGGCTGTATTGAAACAGTCACTCACCGAGTACGTCCAGGTATCCGACTTGGCTCATCATGGGCGACGTGTTGATCTGGCACATGTAGCCACCGCGATCTGATTCCTGCACGTTCCGGATGTGCAACACGAAATGCCTGTTGTCGCTGGTGCTGAGCGAGATGCGGTAGTTTCGGCTGATCACCAGGTGGTGAATGCTCAGGATGCCCTTGTCCTCCACCTTGATCCACGCCGGCTGCATGCAAGACCAGTTAAGCAATGTGGAACGGCTGCTATCATATGAAACTGCAGATGCCTTGCAGTAAGCTCGAATACAACAATGTGCTCTGTATAGAAAATAGGTGCATTATTTCAATATGAACTTATATTGAAAACAAAGTCCACCATGATGGATCAGGAGTTATGGCAGTCGGCTGCTTACCTGACGATCGTGCGTGATGATCTCTGTCGCGGCAGTCGCAATTCTGAAGGGGTCGAAATGGTAGAGGCGCGTGTACTTTGCGAGTTCTGTGCAAACGGTTGAAATTTTCTGAGCCCTCCCTTTATACGGCGTCTCTCGTAATCATATCATGGTTACGCGAAGAAATACTCCGTTGCAGCAAAGGTTTATGTGGTCCTACGACAAATAGTTGTCGGTACATAAAATAACGCTTGATTTCAACCTGTGTGGCTCGACTAATATATTTGGAATTACTAGATTACAACGTTCAAAATCATTCGAAGCCTGTTAAAAGAAACTACACGTCGTTGTTACGTTTGCATTTTCCGCGACAACTGGGCGCTGAGCAATAATAGGCGAGGCCAGTGGAAGACGGCGTAAAAAAGGTTGACACGTAAACATGGATCGCAATGCACTTTGATGGGGATCGCAACACTGTTTCGACATGTTCAGGAAACGCTGCCGATCGACTGTCGAATCTCTCGAGAACACGCAAGCCAAACATTGGAGCGCCGCATGTAGCCTGAAATTCACAATTTTTTTTTCAAAGCCAGCTAGAACTGGTTGCCTCTTATTTCTACCTATGACGTAATATACCCCAATGACCACGCCATATACCCAAAGTCACAGCCATTGGCTGAACTGAGCATCATGAGCTGCATAGTTACCGAGGCCGCTACAGGATGCCGCCATGTTCCCGCTCGCTCACTCGCTATCACACTGACAGTAGGCCATATGTTCGAAGTGCTCAAGGTCATTAGGCGCGCGTGACGTAATTTTATTACCACGTGCCATTCCTTCCTGCTTAGCTTCCAGCGCGCTCATTGAGACGAGAGAAGAGAGAAAGCAGTTACATCGTGTGACGAATCTCTGTAACTCTGCTCGTACTTTACAGGTTCTCAGTTTTTGTGATGGTTGATTTGTAAGGCTCATTTAACGAAATGTAAAACTTATCTAATGAAATGATTCTGTGGTTACGTGGAAAAGTATCAAAGTGTTGCGGAACCCGTTTAAAACCCTCGTAGAAAGAGTAACTACCCTACGGCGCCACCGATCTTCACCTCATCCAGCGTTACTGTAGCAGCACCCTAACACGCATTTCTGGACCTCCCCGCCGTTTCAGTTTTCTACGGAAGCATAGTGACGCAGTCTAATACTTTGCCTCATTATACAGAAAACAGCTTGCCGACTTGCTAAGCACATCAATATTGAATGTCTCCCATACATTGACGTCAACCAGCTGGGAGTGCAGCATTTCATGTTCAGACGCTCATATCACGCAACTCAGCAACTGAAGACTCAGCACTTTGCTTACATGAATGGGCAAGAGATGAGTGTGTCAGTCAGAAAGAGCTCGGCCAAAGGTTTGTCAACAACTATTCTCGCTAAGGTCAACAAAAACACCCATGGACCCTTTTGCTGAGGTTCAGATCGTGCATTTGTCCATTAGGATACAGAACCTCGTTTCTGCTTCGCCCAGCGTTATTAGATCGAACTGCAAGGATCTATCGCGTCATGTCGGGGCCTCGCATGATCAGTCATCGGTACGCTTAGAGAACCACCAGTGATTTTTTTTCCTGTGTGGTCGCAATCAGCATGGCACAGATAGTGCTGCGGTAACGATCGAAGAGCAATTGTACCCGGATTGGGCACCGCATGACTGGGACAGCAGCTTGCAGTTTTGGCAACGACACTCGCGTTTCCAGTCGAAGATATCGGTGGCACTGCTCTCGCTTAATCGATTCCACGTTCTTCTAGTTGTGTCATCGAGCCTTCACACTTATAGTATGGAAGAACGTTCGATTTTGCCTTGCCTCTTTCTAGAATTGAAAAATTCGGCGGATCCGACATACCTAGGAATCGACGTTATGCGAATCCCGTGGAGAGAAAGAAGGAACTGTGTTGCAGTTTTTTTTTATTGAGCGACCCGCCATGAAATGACGCTAAATATATGTACAATTGTTGCACACACGGACACTTGTTGACGAATTGCAGACGTTTATATAACCAGCTGTTTGCACTTGCGCAACGATAGCAACTGGAACATGCGTATTAGCAACACCAGAAGCTGATATGAAGCGCTAATGCTCTCGAAGAAGCTGGCCCTGGACACTACTACATAAATCAACTTCAGCACGTGGCAACTAACCACAATTGACGTTAACCCGACGTGATGGCTGTATCAAAGGAGTGCATATGCAAAAGTTATAAAATTGAGTAGGCAGCACTGCAACCACTGTTGACGTTTTACGAAGTTTATAGCGATTTTATTAAAAGTAGTTTGGAGACCTGGCATAGCTTTGTGGTAGAATGCTTGACTGCCACGCAGAATGCTTCAGTTCGATTCCTGCTGGGACCCTGCAATGTATTATTTGCATTCGTCGGGGGGTAAACGCTACTTATGTCAGTTTTTTTTTCTTAACACTGACATTTATACTATGCCTTCGTTGGGTAAACGCTACCGATGTCGGGTATTGCTTAACGCTCGTGCGTTAAAATTGCCCTTGTGTGTTCTCGTCGTTCCTGGATAGATGATAAGTGTCAATCACCTGTGGCACATACCCACATACTAGTGGCACATACCCACCCGTTGTATGTGCCACTGTCTGGCGGGAAGTGTTTGATGAGGTACGCGACGACATTGTGACATCATTAATGTCTTCACCAGTTCGTCATATTCGTCAAACCATGTTTTGATTGATTGATATGTGGGTTTAACGTCCCAAAACCACTATATGAGTATGAGAGACGCCGTAGTGGAGGGCTCCGGAAATTTAGACCACCTGGGGTTCTTTAACGTGCACCCAAATCTGAGCACATGGGCCTACAACATTTCCGCCTCCATCGGAAATGCAGCCGCCGCAGCCGGGATTCAAACCCACGCCCCGCGGGTCAGCAGCCGAGTACCTTAGCCACTAGACCACCGCGGCGGGGCCGTCAAACCATGTTACCCTCACAGGCTAATTTAGGTTCACGCCAAGTGGGTGACCACGAGAGCGCCGAAACGTTAGCGGCTAGATAGATAGATAGATAGATAGATAGATAGATAGATAGATAGATAGATAGATAGATAGATAGATAGATAGATAGATAGATAGATAGATAGATAGATAGATAGATAGATAGAGAGACAGAGACAGATAGATAGATAGATAGATAGACAGAGATAGATAGACAGAGATAGATAGATAGATAGATAGATAGATAGATAGACAGACAGACAGACAGACAGAGACAGATAGATAGATAGATAGATAGATAGATAGATAGATAGATAGATAGATAGATAGATAGATAGACAGAGATAGATAGATAGATAGATAGATAGATAGATAGATAGATAGATAGATAGATAGATAGATAGATAGATAGATAGATAGATAGATAGATAGATAGATAGATAGATAGATAGATAGATAGATAGATAGATAGATAGATAGATAGATAGATAGACAGACAGACAAGATCAAAGTCGTTGAAGTTCGCTAAAAATGCTTCGCATTTTTAAAAAGTCGCATAACTCCGCGAATATTTTATTGTAACGTGTACTGCTAATATATGTTTCAGTTATTCCTGTTGCTTAATGCATAAAAGAGAAACATAAATACATGTTCCGTCTAGAAACAGTGTTCTGAGCTGTGCCCGGTATCGCTCTAAGGTGGCAGGACTCCTTAGTCCAGGAACCCTCCGGCTTCAACTGCCCTATTGGCCCTGGCGTCGAGTTGTCGCTTGTCTTGCACGTCCTGGAAGCATCCGGCATTTGCGTGTAGAAACGAGGGCAAAAATGAAAAGCTTACATCGGCAGTCTTGAGCCGAAAAAGCAAACATAAATTTCAGTTGCCCCGTAGGAATCGAACCTTCGCATTCTGTGTGCCAATCAAATACACTTCAATAAAGCCAAGCCAGGCCTCAGATATATACTTTTCGTGAAACGTCGATTCCGGTTGCAGTGCTGGCTATATAATTTTATAAACATTACACATGTACTCTTATGATACAGCTGTTATGTCATGTTAAGGTCAACTAAAGATGTGTCATGCACTGAAGTTATTTATGTAGCAGTGTCTTGGGCTACCATCTTAGCGAGAATCAGCGCTTCATATCAGCTTATCGCTTCTGGTGTCGCTCATACTCAAGTTCCTGTTGGCATCGCTGCGCAAGTGCAAGCAACGTGTTATATAAAAATCTACGAATATTCAACATGTTTCCATGCAAGACTTGTACCATGCAATATTGTAGATATATGCAATATTGTACCATGCAATATTGTACCAGACTTGTACCATGCAATATTGTAGACATGTTTCCATGCAATATTGTAGATATATCTAGCGTCATTTTATAACGTGTTGCTGAAAGAAAAGTCAACATGGTCACCTTCCCTCCGCGTGCTTCGATAATGTCAATTCCCAATGTTTGTGGGATCTGTCGCATTTTTCTGCCTGCTGGCGCCATGTAGCTCTACTGGCCGAGCATCAGACGAGGAATCCGAAGGTTGCAGGTCCGGTTTATGTCGGCAGGCAGTTATGTTTTCATTTACTTTAAGTTATTCACATTTATATCATACTGCACGATTTATACCTTTGCTGCCTATATTTTCTGTTATTTCTCATTATGAACATGCTTAGAAATTACACGCAACAAAAAAAAATAAACTGCATTCCCGTTGTCACAGTGCATCCTTGCAAGGCCTCATGGGCACACGTATTCAAACGGTTATCTTTCAACTAGAGTTGACGAATGACGAAGCATCGTCAAATAACGAGCGCGTGGTCTGAGCCGTGCTGTGCACACGG